TCAATGAGATCGACAACGACGAGGCTCGAATAAACGAACTCCACCTCCTTGAAGAAAGAAGGGATGCTTCCCAAGTGAACTTGGCAAAATATCATCGAAAGATGACCCGCTATTATAACTCCAAGGTCAAAAAGAGAACTCTTCGCTTGGGGGACCTCGTCCTCAAAAAGGTCTTCCAATCCTCGAAGCCAACAGTGTCCGGAATGTTTGGACCGAACTGGGAGGGCCTTTACCGCATCCGTAGAGAAACCCGGCCTGGTACTTTCGAAATTGAAGATATGGCAGGAAAGGCACTACCTCATCAATGGAACATCGAACACTTGAGGAAGTACTATCAATGATGAGCCTTTGTTTCAATCCGATCTCAGTACTGTCTAATGAATGGTTGTTCTGATCTGATCTTAGTTGTAAATTCCCTAGCTTACTAAGTGCTGAAATTGCCTTGGTAAAGTGTGGTGTAATTTGTTAAAGTAATGAAACTTCAGTTCTGTGCCACATCGGTTAGTAAATTGCTTTCTCAATCCTTCAACATGTTTACTTGGGTGATCCAATCTCAAATTGTTAACTGATTAACGTTAAGAGGCAGTTCATGCTTACTTAAGTGGTCCACTTCATATTAACTTAAGTGATCCGATCTTCTGTTATTAACTGGTTATTATTAAGGGACGCTTAGTTGAGTGTTCATACAAGGGTAAATAGATCAACACAATAAAACTGCAAAAGCACAAACACTTAACAAAATATTTCATTTCATTTACTTCAATACAAAATACTAAGAGGCCGAAGCCATTACAAGAGTTGGCCTTATTCTACCGGAGGGTCTTCTCGGGCCGCTTCTGCCTTGACCGCCTTCGGGGCCTCCGGAGCTTCTTCAGCAAGCATGTTAGGCCGGCCTCCAATTGGTCCCCCGAACTCCGCCTCCAAAGTGGAGATGTCCAAAGTAGGGTGGACCTATTTCAGCCGACCCAACAAGCCTTGGACACTCCAGGAGGCCCAAAAGTTAGCGAAGTCGTCGTACAGGGGGCGTTCTTCGAAGTGGTCAATAAAGTTCTAAACCGCCACCTCCCCTGCCAACTTCAACTCCTTCTTCAGGGAGGCGATCTCCTCAGATTGAACCTCCGCCTTTTGCCTCAGCTCTGCTTTTTCTTTGTTTGAGGCCTCCAGAGCTTCCGTAGCGAACCGGTGGTGCTCGTTGGCGTGATCCACTCGCCGAGTCATGGCAGCCACCTGGCACTCCACCTCATATATCTCTTTCTTCAGCCGCTCCACTTCAGCTTTGGTGGCAGATAGCTGGGCCTCGGCCTCTTTCCTTCTTTTCTCCTCCTCGGTGGCCTTGGCCCGGGCCTCCCTCACAGCATCTCCATATTGCATCGCCTCCTCGAGGCGCTTGGCGAGGTCCTCCCTCTTAGTATTTAAATCCTTCACCAAGCCCTCCAGTTGGATGCTAGTGCTGAGCACCCGGGCCACGCAGACACTGTTGGTCGCGACCAGATCTTCGACCGTGTAGGAATCGGTGTGGTCCTTCCACTCTTCAGTCTAGTATTTGTTGTGGACCACAGCTACCGTAGCCATTTCCAGAGGAAGAGCCTCCAACACTTCCTTAACCGACTCCTCCGGATTGGTGCCCAAGAAGTCGACCTCCATAGAGGAACGGGCCCTTTTCCTCCTCTGCTGCCCCGGCACTTAGGCAATAGAAATCGCAGCAAGTGGCGAAGTGGCCGGGGCAGTTGCAACCTCTTCGGATGCAGGCCTCTTCTCCGGAATGGCCATCCCGATTGGAATTGTGGTCTGCTTCAGAATAGGGGGTGGCCTCGCCACAGTTGGGCATTTGGAAGGGGCGACACTCTTCTTGCCCTTCTGCTGCAGATCTGCCGCAGGGTCCTCTGCCACCTCCTCCTCTGTTGGAGGCTGGAGCCTTTTACTGGCGTCCACCAGGTCCTCCATCTGCTTCTTGTAGGTGGAGGAGGAGGTCTTCAGCGCCCGCGCTTCTAATCTGGATGGCCTTGAAGTCGGGGCGCACGAGCATCTTCTTCTTGAAGTTATCTGCAAAGAACAAACAATGAATCAGTATAAGTGCAAAGACTTCAGAAATATGGGATGAAAGCTTCGGGACAGTTACCTTGAGATGCCATCAGGTCGTGTGTAACGAACTACAGATTTTTTCTGATCAGCCGATGATATGACCTCTTTTTCTGAGGTAGCTGATAAATGATGCAAATGGTGTCGAAGTCCTTAGAAGACAGTTTGCACCGAGGAAAAGTACCTTCAAAAGAAACGCAAATGTTAGCCACGATCCGAACCGAAGAGAAATATAAAGAAACGCAACTGCGATACTCACTAAGTGTCGAGTACTTCGTGGGGATTGTAAGAGGCGCCAGGGGGTCCCCTTCCATCGTGTCCCATCGTCCTACAGCCCAGCACCACGAGCCCTTCCACTCTTTGATAGAGCTCGACAGATCGAGCACGAATGGAGTATGGGAACTCCATGAAGTGAGGTAATACCAACCCGGGTCTTATCTCCCCTAGCTGTCACCTTAGGGATATAAAGGATCTAAAAGATGGAGAAGGGCATCTCAACCCCAAGCGACGCCTCTTTCCACAACATCTAGGAGCCCACCATTTGGCTCCATGAGTCCGGATTGAGTTGGGTTGGGGCTAATCCATAAGACCTAAGTACCATCCTAAAGAAAGGATGGAGTGGAAACCTAAGGCCGGCTCTAAGAATCGCCTCACTTATGGCCATGCACCCCGGTCTAGGGTAGCAGACCCTCTCTTCAGGCTCAGGGAGGATCAGATCTACGCTATCTGGAATCCTATATTCTACCCTAAGTCTCTCTAGGTCGGCCTCCTTTAGTTTGGAGGGGTAATCCAACGCCCCCCAGTGCACAGAAGTATCAACCGGGCTATCCGGACTCCTCTATATGTTCTCCCTCCCAAAAATTGCTTCGGCTATCTCAGAGGAGGTCGCCACAGTGGGCTCGTCCATCCTCACTAATTCTAGTCCCCTCCCCGAACCAGAACGTCCCTCAGACGCCATTTTTCAGAAAACAAATATCCTAAAAGATACTGAAACTTACGAATTCAAAGGGTTCCCCAGCCGAAAATGCTCAGAAAGTGATGTAAGGTCGCCATAAATAGATACTTCTCGTCGGAAATGCTCGAAACATGCCGAAAATCCCGAATGGTATGAGAGCAATAAGATTTTTCTGTTTGCACAAAGGTGAAAAGCTTTAAAGACGCTCAAAGTCCGCCTTTTATAGAACGCTTCAGCTGATCTCCACCGTTGAATTCAAATGCAATCAATCTGGGCCGTTCGTCGCATCATCAATCCAGGCCGTTGAAATGAAACGCCAGATTTCATCTATGCCTAAGATCTTGCCGTGACCCTCACGTTCGCATAAAACGCTTCACCTCGATCACCACCAGCCGTCGACAATAAGTAGCTGCAACAGCCTTTTAGGGGAATGGGCATGGCACCCAACTGTCACTTTAGAAATACGTAACAGCTGTCAAATCATTTAACGTTAGATGCCCGCCTCAGGTCGATCTCCTCACTCAACTTTACAAAGTTTAGACGCACCTGATGCGGAACCCCTGTGGGTCATCGCCTCGGTCGCTGTCCTAAGCTTTACAAAGTTTTGGCCATCTCCCAACACGTCGTCCCCTGTGGATCAGCGCATCGGTGGCAGATGAGCTCCTCCCTCAACTTTACAAAGTTAGACGCACCGACGCGGAGCCCCTGTGGGTCATCGACTCGATCGCTGCGTTCTCTCCTAAGTTTTACAAAGTTTTAGCCATCTCCCAACGCGTCGTCCCTGTGGGCCAGTGCACCGATCACAGATGAGCTCCTCACTCACCTTTACGAAACTTACACACCTGACGCGAGTCCACTGTAGGTCATCGCCTCGGTTGCTGCATTGATTTTCTTCCTACACATCATCTAGTCTTGCAGCACTTCGGTTCCACATAAGTGTTTTTCCTTACGCAGTAGCAAAGCTCTAGAGCATCTGCCTAAAATCGTCGCTTCGGCGAAATTAGAAGATCAACCCACAATCTCCCACATGTCGCGGTCCACGTACCGATGCATGCACATCCGGTTAGAAAAGCAAGCCCACCCATGATATAAATATTCATACATGGAATTGGGGGATCACTGTTACGTCCCTATCTGAACCACCTCAGAATATCCACCACAAGTCACTCCGACCTGATATACACCCACCCGAAGTGTTTCCGAAGCGATCTCTCCAATGTCAACAACCTGCTATCACACTGCGAGCCACAGACAATTCTGCCGAACCGATCGAAGCGCCCTCGCCCGTGATGTCGAGGGGAAGTACACTCCGGGGACCTCTGTCAGAAGATGCGCCATCAATTTCAGAATGAGATCTTTACCAAGATCCTTTCTGCCCCTAAGGTTTAAATTGATTTGAGGTCTCCATGAGGCTAGTTGATGTGGCTTATCAACTCAACTCGGGAGAAGCAATTACCCGCCCACTCTACAGATGCGGCTGATTGACGCCTATGAGCAGACACCTCATACCGTAGATGTATACACATGCCCCACATCCAACAGTTCATCCCACCTATAAATACCCAAGGGTTGGCAAGAGGCAAAAGTAATGAAACTCTTACTAGATAGCACTCCATAACAAGCATTTACATTTTCTCCTCCCCTCTATTATTCTGCATAACCCTTGGGTACTGTTCCGATCACCTTAACATGATTTGACCGTCGGAGCGTATACGGCCGCCGCCGCCCCTGCTGGTCCCGACCGTGTGCGTCTGACCGTGTGTTGATTGTGCGCAGGAAGGAATACGTGGAGTAACTCTTGATTGACCATGTGGAAGGTCCAATTTTCGAGGTCAACAAAATGCAAAGAAACTTCTTCCAAATTCGAAGCTTCTTCATTTCCCTGCATCAATGTGTTGCTAATTAAGATCCATAGTCGTTAAGAATTGTATCGTCAACAAAAGTGAAATCTGTCAACTGTAGTTTCAACACATTAAAATTACAGCCGTGTGCCTCCTTAATTGAATTAAATAATATATTGCTGATTGATAATTGAAAACAGTTTGTTCTTCTCTCTATATTCCCAGAAAGTCAATCCTCAACCACTACGGTTTGCGATCAATACCAAATGGCTGCAGTCAGTAATCTATCACTGCGCTTTTGCTCTATGTTAATGGCTTTCCATTTTGCTCTATCTGCATATTTTCAATTGAACGATCCAGGTCAGGTCAGGTCACCAATACGCAATACCCCCAGATTTTTTTAAAATTTTCTTCATTTCTGTCTTAATTCCATGTTTGTTTGACTAACTCTGGTTTTTTTAGTTTCAATTGTTTTCAGATTGGTATTTTTGGTTTCCTCTCTATGCCGTTGCTTGTGTTGTCAATTTGGTCAACGGAGTGAAAACAGAGGAAAAAAGAAGAAAAATGGCCAAATTTGCAGTTTGGCTTGGGATGTTCCTGTTCATCAAGGTTATAATTGAAGATTTTGTTGATGAAATAACTGGATTTTGGTCATTTGATATGCGAGAGAGAGTCGTTAGAGAAAAACTTGGAAGTGGATTGGTTGTTGGCTCCATGCTTATGCAATTGGAATCATTGGCACGCCCACCTCATCCCAGCTGCACTCAAGTTGCAAAACTAGGTACTCAAATTGCTACCCCAGATTTTCATTTTCCCAATGAACAGAACATAAGAATTAGTTATATTTATGCAAATTTCATTTATTTATTTATTTATTATTATTATTATTATTATTATTATTATTTTGTGAACAGGAATGCCAATCTTGGTGGGGATTAGTTACAGCCTTTCTTTGTTTTTCTTTGTATTCCAACGCCGAGAAATGAAATTTTGATCAGAATGGTTCCTATTTTTGTAACATTCAAGTGCCAGTGCTAGTAACGATTTTGTTCTAATTAATTTATATTCACATGTACACGAATAAAAGATTTAACCATGGACACTGAGAAAGGTGAAAGTCTATTTAGCTTCTTCAATATCGGTACAAGTCAAAGTAGCAATTCCATGATTTAGTCATCTTCCTTCAATCCAAAGATTTTTGAAATTTGACAATAGAGAAATCCAACGTTTACATATTTAGCTCACGTTTGATCCTTATACTAATTAGAAATTTTTTTTAATGGAAAATTGATACTTCGAAATGGAAAATCTTGAATTAGAAGTTGCATGCTACAATTTAGACCATTTAAGTGGCTAGATAAGTTACCGTTCGTGCCTCCTTCTAATATCATTTCTTTATCTTGGACCTTAAAGTGGTCATAAGGGTACGCGAGTTGAGCGACTGCATAGTGACTCAACATATATATCAGTATAATTATTTAAAATATTTATTAATATAAAATTTTAAGTTTTTGTTATTCTGTTAAGTTAAAGGACTTTTGAGAAGATGTTAAGTAACTAAGATGTTAGTGGTTTGAATGGTTCTTTGGTAATCACATATGAATTTTGATGAAGTTTGAAAGGTGCTTTTGAGCTTTGCTTGGGCTTTGCTTATTCATGACAAGTAAAAAATAAATGAATATTTAAATGTTATATTTTTGCAATGAAATAATATTATATAAGTATTTTTTTCTTAATATATTTTTTAATTATACGAAAGGGATATCTATAACATATTAAAGGTGGTTATATTGTCAGCACAATTTTTATTTGATATACCACATTTTAAATACAATTAAACTCCTCGATCCTTGTTCATATCTTCAACCTTCCATTAATTATTACGTCTTGTCCTTGATGATAATTTATATCAAAATATTTTGTTTGCATATTTTGAAATCAGGAAAATAATTAATATTTTTTTTGCATTTTTTATTTATTAATTTAAAAAATATATATATGATGAAAAAATAAGTTGTTTTATGCCATTTTAATGGATTTTTAGACTGAAATTATTATTAAATACAAAATATGTTAACTAATGAAAAGTTTGACGATAAGAATGACTTGAAAAATCATTAGGGATATAAGTGCTATATTGAGAAAAATTAAGAATCTTGAGTACAATTAAAATGTAGTGCAAAAAATAATTATAGCTTTATCTATAATATAATAATATATTAAATATCACATCACAACAAGTACAAATCATTTTTTATTTACTTTTATGATTCTAGCTTTACCATAATTCAATTATTTTATTGATACCTTACCTTTCATTTTTCAACATGTATTAAAATTATTTAATTATTAAGTTATCATCAATGTACATGTACATTTGATAAATTCATTTCACTTGTGTACTCATTAATGTATAAATCACTAATTATTAATTTTCAATTAATTAACATTCACATTCATTTAATGAATATTCATCTTCATTTATGCATTTCAATATTATTAATTCTAATTATAAGTTAATTAGAATTTATCATTCAAAAATATATTTCATTATTAAGTTCATATATGCTAATTAACATTGAGTTTTACTTAATTAAAAATTAAATAAATGATTTGACATTCATTGTCACGTATATTTTTTTTTATGTATTAGTTCTAAATTAATTAACATTAACACATATTCGAATATTACTTTTATAACACTTATAAAATCATAATAAAGTGCAATGGACGTTCAATGTTGATTAGTTATTTTAAAATGTCACATTAAGCACCCAAAATCTCATAGTTGACCTGCATGGACCCACATCACAATTATGCATCATCAAAGTTTCAATGCAAAATTTTGCCCGTTGTATCTTAATTGAGGGTGATAACGATCTCTTGACCAAGCTATGAGTGATGATATTTCGTGGGTAAACGTTCATGAACTCATTTTGCTTGTAAAAAAGTCGATATTTGCTTTTTCCAAATAATTGAGGTCAAACACATAATTATTTTCACGTCAGTTTGACACATTGCCAAATCATATGGATCTTAGATTATCAAAAAGGAAATCTTTATTTTTTTTCCCCTTCTAAAAACAAGAGTTCACATGCTTATAAAGAGAGGAAGTCTTTTGAACAAAAAATCAATAGTTCAAAAATTGATCCGACCATCAACTAGAAAAAGAGAAAGGATCAAGGGTCATAATATTGAACTGGGATCAAATTGAGATCAAACCGGTGATTTTTCAAAATTTAAAACATATATATTTACAAAAATTAAAAAATATATATTCCCTCCGTCCCAATTATATAGCTTGGTTCATTTTTCACACGGATTAAGAAATCTTCTTTAATGTCATTGAAAAATTAATTTTTGCCAAAATCTTTCCTAATTTACCCCTATTTAATTTCAGTATGTAGTAATAAATTATTGATGGAATTAGTGAATGAATTTGAATAATTTAATTTGAAGAAAAAGAAATGAGAGTTGTTTCATGTTTCAAAGAAGTGGGAATGTGTGTATTTGAATAATTTCAAGAAGTCGGCATATTAAGTGGTGAAAATTGAATAAGAATATATTGGTAAAGAAACAAAACAAAATATTCTAAATTAGGAAAATAATTTCAAGAAGTCGGCATATTAAGTGGTGAAAATTGAATAAGAATATATTGGTAAAGAAACAAAACAAAATATTCTAAATTAGGAAACGGGCCTATATATTTGAGACAAGAAAAAAATGAAACTCAACCATATAATTGAGACGGAGGGAGTATCAATTTACATGATTGGATATAGGTCACAGGTTTTTCAGAAATCGATTGGTTTATTTTAGGATGGTTTTTAGTTGGAGACTTTATAAGCTTAACCAGTTCAATTTTGGTCTCGGTCCTGGTTCCAAAATTTTCAATTGACCTTTTAATCATTTGAAGAACAAATTGGCCAAAGAAACAACCATAATAATGCACTTGAAAACCCACCAAGCCATGTTTAAAAATCATATTGGACCAATTCGGCCAGTTCAACCACAAAAATCGAGACCAAGTTATGTTCAATTAGGCTCATAAAACCTCTAATTGAAAACTTGTCCCAAAACCCGTTATATCGACGGATTTTGGAAAACCCATTACCCGTTATCAATTTAACCTATGAAAATATCTATTTTTTAGGGAAAATTGCAGCAATGGTCTCTAACATCTTCAATTTTTACAGATTTTACCTTAACCTTCAATTTGTGCCAGCAAATGTCCCTAATCTTTCATAAATATGCATCTGGAGTCCAACTGGATGGAAACCATCCATTTGATCGTTAGTTGACCAAGAAAAGTGGACTTGAACCAATTTTGACCAAATTAAAAGGGATGAAATGGTAACTTTGCATTTTAACCTATAATAACCAAAACAAAATAAAAAGAAAAGAAAAGAAAACTATTCATCTTCTTCTTCATCCCCCTCGTCCCACCCACCCAAGCCAAAACTCAAAGCCTCCGCTACCCACTGGACGGCCACCACATCATTTCCAAACCTTTACGAAAGCTAACCCACTACAATTATCTCCGTTTGCGACCACCACCACACCTTTCTTCATTACAATTATCCATTTTTGGGACCGCCACACCTTCACCACACCAGCAACAAAACCTAGCACGGTAATTTTCTCGCTTCTATAGCACATCCTACCTCTACTCAAAGCCCAAAAGGTACACCCATTTTGCCAGAGTTCCACTTCTCAGAAAAATAAAGCTATGGCAACAAGAGGAGATCAAAAGTTGAAAATCAAAATTGATAAAAAAAAAAAAATCGAAAGAAATTGATGCTCAAACTCTGAATTCTTTGTGCCAAATTAAGTCGAGTTTGGATTTAACATTTTCACAATAATTAATTTGGACATACCTTTCAGTAAGAATTTTTCTTTTGTTTCTTTCTGTTTTGCGCGGGTAGTCGCTAACAATTAAAAAGGGATCAAACGATTGTGTAAAGAACAAACCTCTTGAGACAAAGTCTCAAAAATGGGTGTTTTATTGGCGATGATTTACAATTGAAACTAAACAGAATGCCTCCAAGGGGCGCAAGCACACGAGTACTGAAAGAAATGTTTAAGTTTAAACTAAGAAATTGAAATTACATATTCTCTGTTTGAGAGTGTTTGATTCGGAATTCTTTTTCTCTATGTCTTCTCTTCCTTTTATATTCCTTTGATGATTTCTTCGTGACAACTGCTTGGAAACTGCTTGATTGCTGTATAACTACCAACTTTCTTTATGGTGACTAACTTGTCGTGGAACTGCCGTCTCTAACTGCTGTCACTACTCTTTGTCGTTCAACCGCCTTCAACTGGGTTCCTTGAATCGTGGAATGTGATAAGGTTACTCAATAACTATTTCAATAACTACATTTCCGAATAACCATAACATTTTATGTTTGCTAAGATCTTAGGCGATTCGAAGGTATGGGCGAGAACAAGGTCATCGCTCTGGGTGACTGTAAGGTACTCCATTCGCTCAGATCTTGGGCGTCTTGCAAGCTTGGGTGATGATATTACTGTGTTCGTGAGCTTTCGCTGCATTCATTAATAACCCTGTCTGGGCCTTTATCCTGAATTGCCCAATTGGACTTCATTCTTTGGGCTATTTGATTTGGGAATTCCTCAATTGGGCTTTATTCCTTGGGCTATTCGATTTGGGCTGCACTTTTAGTGTGTCAAGAATTACCCCCCAATATGGCAGAATTAATACTAATTATTAATCTTTGCCATATTCACTTTGTATTTTTCAGCAATATTTGAAATTACCAAGAATTTCAATCATTATTTTCTTCTACAATCTGAAAAAGTGCAACGTTACAAACCCTTATAAACCAAAAGGACACGCAATTTCATTGCACCACTCGACCACGTCTATATTTCGCGCTTCTTCCTTGCTATTTTACTGTTCATCTTCTTGCTTCTCTGCTACGTTTCCCAGGCAAACCTTGTCAAAACTGTATTTTGTTTCTAATGGCGACTTCAAAAACTCAATCTGATGATTCCTTTAGTTTCAAAGATTTTCAGAAACTCCTTACTAGGCCATATGTAAATCCAAACTTTCTTACACAAATTAGTGCTAACCTCAATGAATTCTACTTGGGTCCATCATTCAATAATGCCGAAACTG